TATGTGATATATGCTAGTACGACGCATCTGAAAGATACACTTCATGGCCTTCTGTAACAGCCGTATCAATTTTACATTTATCGCTATACTTCAATTAGTAAATTATTTCTGGTCTGCTCAGACTTTCTTCATCACTGACTGTATCATCAATTAGCAACACCGAGATATGGAAAATGAAGAGTTTAAAATAAAAAAGGCAAATTTTGACGAAACATTCGTTGAAAACAGATATTTAATAAGCCTGAAGTTTTTGTTGCCGTTAATAGATATACTTGTGTTATTCAGCTTGACGTCTACTGTGTAGAAGCTACTGTAAAGTAGTTCTATCCGTACTGACTGAGAAGACTACAATACAGTATATTTACGATTCAAGATACAGAAATGCATATGGTAGCTTTCAAAAATTTAGGTAAATAAGAAGCAGAAAAAGAAAAGCTTTATAAGTTTGGCATTTTCCTAGCTCACAACAGTTACTGCAAAATGCGTTTCTGAACAGTGGGAAATCTGCATGTGATCTAAAAATCTTCCTGTAGAACAAATTCTTGACATTTTGATCATTTAGTTCCTTCAGACTTTACACGAAACTGCAGTTTGCAGTCTAAAAAAATCCAGGTATATTTATGTCATCAAATCGTTGAACAAAAAAACTTTTGATTTAATATTAAATTATTTATGTGACAACTGTTTTGGTATCTTTTAGTTTAAATAATACAACAAAATTCTTCATCTCTAACATACGACCATAATTTAGTAACAATTTGCCACTACACAAGAAGTAATTTTGTGCAAAAAAAAAAAAAAAAATGCGAATGAAGTTAAATTTTGGTTGATTCGAGCTTAAGCAAATAAGAAGGTTCAACTTCTGGGTAAGCAGATGCTGTATTTTGAAGTTTCTGGTTTTGTTCTAAATCAAAACGTTGAGGGATTCTGAAAAGTACAAGAAATATCTTAGTTATTCTACCGATTGCGATTCTGCTCGGTAGACTTCCAGACTGGATGCAATCAGTTTCTACCGAAACTATCCTTCACCAATCAGTAATATTCTGTCACTCAATAATCTTGTCAAATGTTTAGATGTAAATAAAAAAGAAAAAAACATTTTAGTTTTGCTGCTTTTTTTACTACCGCAAAAAAGATTGACTAAACTGTAAGCAATAAACCAAATAGAAATATATATATTCAGCGTACTTTTAGATGATAAAATTTCTATTGTAGCAAACAAAAACCGTACTTAAACATTTTGAATTTTGTTGCAGTATAACTTTAAACTTTATAGGGGTGTTTGCTATATTTTTACAGACGATTAACCGTTAAGTGAACTGTTTTGAAAGATACAACATATAATTTTTGCTTCCAAACAAAATACAAATCTAATTTTTTTTCTCCTGTATAACGATCGAAATAAAATTTCTTTTTTTTTTCTATTAAAAATTGTATTTCAAAGTTAAGTTTCCTTTGTTTGCATTTAGCTTTACCTTGAAAACTTCAATTGAACAGGTTAAACAAGTACAAACAGTTTTTTCTTTGGGAAAGGGATGGAATGATATCTGAAGTGAAAAACTGTTGCCAAATTGATCTGTGGAATTTCTGCTGCAGTGTAAACGTATTTTAATTGTTTCCAGCAAATTCCAAAAATATTTTTAGTTTATTCTTTTTTTTTTTTCTTAATATTAATTCTCTGCAGTTGCTATTTATTGCATTTTACTGAAAAGAACAATTATTCACTACAGCAATTTTTTTTTTTTTTTTTCATTAAATATATCAAAACAAAAAATATGGCAGAAAAGAAGCGAGAAAGAAAAAAGAACAAACAAATGCAGCAGTGTTTAAATGTATTAAAGCAAAGATAATTTATAACACTAAAATATTTTTATAAATTGGTCGCTAAAATTTAAACTTTATTTATCGCTCAACAGTAACAAAAATTTTACCATTTTTATGCTGCATTTGTGATTTTTTTGTTTTTTGTTCGAACATTTGAACAAAGATGTGGCAAAAGAAAAAACTGTATTTTATCTTCAGAAAAATTATTTTTTACAGTAGTTTGATAAAAAAATTCCTTTCAATGTTCATTTTTTTTTTCACTTTTTTTAATTTAAATTTTGTAGTAAAAACAATTTAAAAAAAAGTTTCACTTAACGAAGCAAAAAGATACTATTTTTTTTTTTATCTTTTAACAGATATATTTGCTGCAAACTGATGCAGGTAAGGCGTTGATACTGATCCACCAACTACAACTTCCAATAAATTTTGCATTGCAACAAATTCAGAAGTTTGTCGTATACATCAATAAACATTAATTTAATTCTATAGATGTTTATTTTTTTTTTTTGATCAATATTTAAAGTGTTTTATTCTTTTGTTTTTCTTCTGACTGAACCAATTGAACCAACGGCTATCTGTTTAGAAAAGCTGTATTCGACTGTTCAGTATCTAAGTTGCGAAAGTTGCTAAACAGTTACGAAAACTGATCGTTGCTGTCTTAGCAGTTGCACTCAAGCGAAAAAAAAAAAAAAAATAGAAAAAAAAAAAACGACAGATAATTTCAGTGTCATTTCAGAGATAATCTTTTTGCATTAATTATAATACTTTTTTGTTCAAAATTTGTTTCTTTTAGGCTTATAGCTTCTCAAAACTTTTTTCAGAATTCATTGATTCAGTAATCATTGCTAAATTATCCAATTCAGTTTGCTGTTTCACCGCTTACAAATATAACGGTTTCAACTAATCTCTGCTCGCTGTAACTGTCTGTAGTCACTGGTATTTACTTTGTTAAAAATGGCAAGAAACAAAGCTTATATTTAATAAGTTTACTCACTGTTTTGTGCAGAAAAATTAGCTTTATAAAATTATACGATATGATGATGTCGTCTCTTATGGTTAATTATAGCTTTCATTTTTTCCGTTATTAAAAAGGTGCTAATTTAACGATCAGTTTAGTGTTTTCATCGTGTTGCCATCATAGAGGAAACCGCAAATTACACTGTTTTGGTGTACTGTCGGCGAAACATTTATCTAAGTGTATACCAATTAAAAGTGCTTGAAAAAAAACAGTTACTGATCCTAAACCTGAGTGACAAAAAAGAGGAATTAGAAAGAAAAAAACAATTTTTTTTTACTTATTTCATTTATTTCTTTCTTGATCTTTTCTGCTTTTTTCTTCTCTACTTTTTTTTTACCTGTCATCCTTAAATAGCTGCTTTAGTAAATTTGAAGCAAAAATTCAAGACAGAATAGGATTAAGAAAAAAAAAAGCAATGGGTTATTTCTTTTTTTTTTTTTTTTTTTTTT